CAGGTACAATTTATATTACTTAGAACATTTTAAGTTGTATTTTGCCACTTGAAGTTACTGTGAACAACAATTTGTCAGCAACAGTTAAGTAATACTTTAAAATATTAGTAGGCCTTCTACATATCAAGCTTTAAAAAATATACTGCATTATTTTATGAAAAATAGTCTAAATTTTAAAAAACAATTGAGCTTATTTCTTCTTCATTACATCTCAAAATGTTAAATGCTTATCAAAAGTATGATGCCAAAAACAAATAAATATACTCCGTTTAAAAAACAAAATAATAAATCTTTGAACTCCTAGTGCAAAATAGTTCCAAGATTGAAAACAATTTTAAAATTCTCCTAACTTATTCCTCTACACATATTTTAAAATTGCAATTTATTAACACCTAACAAGCTTCCACTTGAGTTTGATACAGGACTGAATAGTCAAGACTTGCACCATCACAGTAACAACTGTGTAAGGTACTTTCTCTTTCCCTTTTCACTGTTTCCATGCGATGCAGATAAAACCATGTTTGTCTGTCTATTGGCTGACCATCAACCAATGAGGAGGGGTTGACTTCCTCCATAAATGCTTTGCCATCCTCATCACTGGCAAGGTACTTCCCAGTGTTTATTGATTTAATAGACATATAATTGCTGCTGTCATTTACATATTTAACTTCAAACATGTATTTTTTGTCATTGGGTTGTTTGGCAACCAGTTTCTAGAAGCAAAAAATGAAGAACAGAATAGATTAAATTTAAATTTAAAAAACTAATATGAACACTGGTTCAAATCTGCCAAGAATAATTTTCCAGATTTAATTTAGTATAGTCAGAATGAAAGTATATAAGTGAATGCAAAAGGCTTAACAGCTATGCCTTAAACCTTTCACTCCCAAGATCTGATTGTTAATTCTCCCCTCTGACTGCTACACATTTCCTTGTATATTGATTACAAGAATTTGTTGTTAGATCATGATAACAACCTCCACCTGATGAGTTTGAGTATTCTCAATACCTGTTTGCGAAATAATGTATGGCTATCTTAGAAAGAAGTTGCATGTTAATCACTTCTTGAAGCAAAAGGGTTTAAAGGTCTCCATTTTTCTAATAAAAGAAAAAGTTTTAAACAATTAAATCCCACTCTTTTGAGCATAGGGAAGTTTATTCCACCTGTGAACTTTATTCCAGCTAGTTACAGCAAAGAGATAACACTGGCAATTATTCTATACCAATCACATGTACAGCATGCCTTAGCTTACCTGTAGAAACACCTTGTCCCCCTCTGCACACAAGTAATAGAGTTTGCCATCTAACTCAATACTTAAGGTATTTGCCATATATTGAAGGGATTGGTCAACTTTAAAATCTAGAAACAGAAACACAAAAAATAAATTTACTAGACATAGAAAGTCAAATTGTATGCAAGTAATTAGCTCTTTACAACTTGGTTATTTCTTAAAATAGATTTCTGTACTAAAAACTGTTATTTTGTTTGAATGATAGGGTTCTATGCTAAGCAAGATTTTAAAGTGATGCCTAGAAAATAACAAACGAGGGTACACAGAGTTTCTTTGTATTATTCTATCCAGCACAAATATTCAAAGAAATATTCACAACCTTTATACAGCTAGGTCAATTGATCGCCTTAAAAAATAAATTCCATGTTACTTTTCGTTTGGTCAGTAATATATCACAGATGACATCACAATGTGATAGGAGCAACAAAATGAAACATGAAGCGTAGCTGAGTATGTCAGTGATATCCTCAGCATACTTTGACATCCACTGTGATCTATTACTGTACAGACCGACGGCAACATTGAAGCTACTTGTTTTATATGATAAAAAAAACTTAACATTGTCACTTGTGAGATGTGTCATTTATGCATCTATCCTCCATTAGATCATAAGTAAGAACCAATCAAAATGCATGGGTAATTCAGCTGTGTTAGGAAAACGTTTATTACCTTTGCAATGGTTATTAATATCAATTGTAGTTAAGTGCATGGCCAAGATGGCTCTTTTGAATGCTCATTGAACCTCAAGTATCAGTGACTGGTGAACTCGCGTTTAATTCTCACATGAGTTTAAAATGCACAAATAATACATTCACATTGTAGGTTTTTGCGTAGATTACCCTCATGATATGAGATTTCAGAGCCAATATGAAATGTATTAAGTTCCACGTGTACTTTACACCGTGTCAGTGCATGTTTGACATTTTTGCACGCCGCTCGATCTACAAGTGTTGTAATGACTGCTCACCCCGAATTAGCTTTTGTACCTGAACTAGAGCTTCTTGAGAGCCTTACCTGTTCGTTCATTCCTATGGCTTCCAGTAAACGTTATTAAGATTTGAAGGTCGCCGTGAGGCAAAGCTGCCATCATAAGGTTTCCTCCGTGGTCAAGCTTGTGTGCCTTTTTTATCATACGATTACAGGAAAGGATCTCAGTTACCTGTCCAGAGAAAAATTAAAGAAAAGGAATGTTTGTTAAGCTTTTGGATTCAAACAAAACACTTCATTACTGGACACAATCAGCGTGGGAAGAAACTTCACTCATTGAAAGACCACTGTTAGAAAGATGTTCGATTAACTTGACAACAATTTTATCCTACCTGAGCCATATTTGCCTATTAAAGGTTTTCTTTCTAGACTTGCTCTGATGATCTTTGGCTTCTCTTGCCGTTTATAGCGAATCGCATCAGAAATTCGATATATATACGAGAATATGAGGAAGTTTAAAATGCAAATTGACACCGAGGGACTCCCCACAGTCACGCGGTCAACTTAGAAAATGAAAACGTCAAATACCTCAATTACTTCCACGGATTTTCCCATAAGCTAAGCTTCTATCAGATAAGACTGGTTTCTACGACTGCATATAGAGCTGATACAGAGGGAAATACTCATATATATAAAATATAGCTACACTAAAAATTTGTAAAACAACTAGCCACCCAAGAAAAGAAAGCAAATATATTTTTCCGAAATAGAATTTTAGAGCTATTCTCGGTTGGCCAGTAGACATACCTCTGAGAAA